GGAAATAGCATCATATCTCCCAGGGCTGCCCTAATCCCAGGGCAACTCCTGGGAAAAATTAGACATTTCCAGGAGATCTCCTGGGACTCTTCCAACTCCCCTGGGAAACGGAAAAAACTCCTGGGATTCCCAGGGCTTGTTTTTACCGTGAGCTATGTATGAACATGTTCTCACAATGACAAAAGGGGGGCAAAAAATAAATAAAAAAAATTGCATATATTAGAAAAAAATAAAAATAATAAAAGCTGAATTAACGTGCTTTTCTAGGTACTAAAGAAAACATGTGAAGCTAGCGGTTTCACGAGGAATGGAAGTAGGCATTTTTGAATACATTCCCACATCATGCAGATACGTTTTCCACTGCGGTGGCGCCTTACGAAACCGCCATGGGCAGCTGTCGCCGCCTGTAAATTTAAGTTTCACCCCCGCAAGGCGACAGGGGTGACGCCGCCTGACGGGGGCCCCCGCGGATCGTTAGATTGGGACGACTGAGGAATTCTCGACGATTCGCATATTCCTATGACTCATTGCCAAAAGGTATTATTGCGGGAGCCGGGCCCGGCGGGCGACAGTCATGAGTCGTGCGAGAGCGGGGCGGCCAGTGCCAAAAGTGTCCAAAGAGCTTTTACGTAAGTGGACCGGACACGCTCACACTAGACTAAAGCACTAGCTTACTAGCTGCTAGTAGCGGTCTGCGATGCGCGAGAGCAACGCTTGCTTTCAACAAATGCAGCAAAAAATTGGTTTTTTTAAAAAAAAAAAAACGAGGGGTCATGTTTACAGTGCAAAATGGTTACGAAGAATTTACATACATTTGAATTACGAACTACTGTTTGATAGGCTGAATTAGATAGCTGAAATCAAGAATCCTGTACCCACAGCTAGTTAGTACAACTGTCCGGCTCTTGGTTGTGAACATCGGTTTCAATATTTCGGCTACTGAATTTCGTCTATCGAACAGACTCGATCACTGCTGGCAAGTTTTTTTTTCTCCTGATACAAAAGAACTATCCGCAACGTTGCAAAAAACTAAGCTCATAAACATTTTACGGCGACTTTGCAAAAACATTTTTGTTTACTTGTTCATATAATAATGAGTCAGTCGCCCTTGTGGCGTAAAAGACGCGAGTGACCGGCAGAAACTTAAATTACGCGTCGCGAACTCTTGTACTCTTGTCACATTAATTATTATTACAGAGATAAGCCGCGCGTCGGGGGCGCTGCTTGAGCAAGAGCTGAGGTGAGGGGCCCCATCAGCCAGGGGTCCCGCGGGGGCTGCGGGCCAAACCTCCGCCGCGCACCTGCCCAGCCGAATTTAGAAGAATGTTGTTTCGCTTCGGCCAGAACAGAGTTTATAAATATACAAGCGCCGCCGCAGTGGTGGCGGGTGCCGCACGTCACTGTTGCGTGCGGGGCGGGGCGAGACGGGGTTGACAGCAGCAGGGAAGGACCGGACCGACAAGTAAACAAAATGTGACAAAAACAAAGTCAAGAGCAGCGCCAGAGTCGGGGGCGGGGTCCGTCCTCGAGAGGCGCGCCGCCGCCGCGGGTTGACAAATAAGAAAAAAGCAAAGCGCACCTCTCATCGACAGACAGGTCGTGGATCCCCGAACCACCTCAACAGCATAGCCAGTCTGTTGCCGCGAGCGGGGCGACGGGGATAGGGACAGAGATAAACACAGCTGTCAATGCTCCTTCCTGCTCGATTGCGACAGCCGGGCCAACGGCGGCGACCGGCGAGAGTTTGGATGGATAATTCATCTTTTCTTTTTTCAGTCAGGAAAATGTGCTAACCATGCAAAATAACACTTCGAGTCGACGTGAGGTCCGCCCGGCGCCCGATATGACAAATGCAGATTAAATGAGGATGAACGATACATTTCGCATAGGTTGATGCAATTTTATGCACATCAATCAGATGCGATCAGATGTAACATTTCATGTAGCAAGTGACCTCAGAAGTGACAATTGTGCACGCATCTGTTGGATAAAAATTAAACTTGAATACTTTTATGATGGTAGAAAAACAATTGGCAACAGGTGAATGAAACATTATTGTCACTTCCTAGGTCCAATATTGCATCTGTTTAAGTGGTGTGTAAACACAAAATTGCATCAACAACCTTGCCGTAAAAACTTGTCCTCGATTGCCATGCTCCCGTTCATTCCCCCGCAAGACGCAAACAAAACGTTGAAACATTGTCACAGCCTCTGCTTCCATTCCTCGCGAGCACCACGGTCACGCCGGTAAGGTAGTAGAAGTAAACAAAATAGGGTACTGAGCAGTAGTAGCAGCATTGGTGGAAAGGCGTCGGTACTGACCTGGTTGTGCAGCGGGTGCAGCGCCACCTCAGCGTTGTCCTCGATATGGAGGTGGTCGAGCTGCAAGGGGAGGCTCGCGCTGGCGTCCTGCTGCGGCTGCGGCTCCGGCTGCTGCACATGCTGGTGCTGCTGCTGCACATGCTGCTGGTCGACGCCATACTTGAGGACGACTCGCTCGGTGCTCACACTAGACGGCGCTCGCGGATCGCCCATACCCCAGCCCGACAGCAGATATACCATTCCCAGCCGGCCGGAGAGTGTGTAACAGCTCGCCTTGGGGCGCCAATCCTGCGCGACAAGAAAGCACCCGGGGGCGCACCGTGAAACTTACATTGTCCATTGGGGGAAGGGTGAGAAAGACGGGCTGAGCGGTGACGAGTAGGAATTTAAGGACTGAACCTTTCCCAAAAAATTCGGA